TTCTGGCAGCAGCAGTTGATTTCCTGTGCTGGGTCCAGGGAGACAGGAGCTACTGGGAGTGCACAGTGTGGAGTTTGTGGCTCAGCCTCTTCAGGGAGAAAAAGGAATCATAGGACACAGGGTCTTCCCAGTTCTTTATCCATTGAGTTATAAGGACGCTCCTCTGTGAAGAGCATGACAATAATCTTCACTTGCCTAGTGGACTAGCTGCCTTGGATGTCAGAAGCAGAGGAAACCTTCCTTTAAGGAAGAGTATTTATGTGAGAAGTCCTGACATGGACTAGCCTGCAGACCCATAAAATCTTCAAGGTCTACCTATACCAGCAGCAGTTCCACCCCTCAGTTTCTTGTGACAACCCTCCTCCGCACCAAACCCCTCCTGACAGCTGTCACCTCTCACCAGCCTGCGCTGCATGGCATCCTGCTTCTGTGCCAAAATCATCTAGATGAGCTGGGGCATGAAATTAAGCTACTACATTAACCTGTCTGGTTTTACCTCTAGCAAAAATGGTTCCCATTGATGAGCAAGGTTAACCCACACAGCTGTTCTTCAGCTGATTCAACAAATTTTGTCTCCAACAAAATTCACTGGAAGGTGGGGTTACCCAAATAGCAGTAATGGCTGCAGCCATCTCATTTAAACTGCTGCTCCAGACCTGACAGAGGCTTAGAAAGCTGAGTGACTGAGGCACAGCCAAATTTTATGGGTTCAATGTAGGCTGAATTACTATAGCAGAACAGCTATGAATTATCATGCAAGTTTGTTACATGGCAACTAAGTTCATATTATTTATTATTTTCAGCAATCTTGGAACCTGTTCCCAGGTTCTGCAAACACAGAAGACCTGTTCCCTTTCCAGAAAAAGAATGAGAACAAAGCCATTGTGCAAGAGGATGGCTGAAAGAATTGAGATGTAGATCAAATCCAGCTGCCTCCTAGGAAAATGCAGTTTTTCCTGAGGCCTGTCTTGACAGTTTTGACAGGTTTATAGCAGAGCCAGTATAATTTCAAGCAGCAAAATTATCTTCATAACCCCTGCAATGCTTGGGTTACCCTGACAGTCTAGACAGCACAGATGTTGTGTCTGCACTAAGCTGGTGATTCTGCCCTCACCTGCAGCACAGCAGCTGTTTTTTCTACTGATGGCTCTTTTATTTTGTAGTGACTAATGAATCCAGCTGCTGGAAAATAAGTTAATCTTCCTCAGTCAGTATTCAAATATGCAGCTCACATCTCTATCTGATTTTTAATTTTTGAGCACAGATGCAGCATTTTTGGGGAGAAGAGTCAGAGACTATACTCCTATCCATCACTTGACATGAAGTTTTTAAGTTCTCAGGGTAAGGGCCAAGTTGCCTTGTGAAGTAGTGCCAGCACCAAGAATAGAATGTCTTTATTTGCCGTGTCTGCCTTTCAGCACCACTCTGTGTGGTTTTTTCCATTGACAGAGTTCACATTTGGTTCAGAAAAAGGCTATATCCACCCTCCATCTGTGAGTATGTGTTTCCTTCTCATAAGTTCTCTCTAACAGTTGCCTTAGTGAGATCACACTGAGGTTCAGGCTTTCCAGGCAGTCACAGGCAGGCTTGTGTGGTTGCAGCTGCTTTGGGTGGGAACACTGATACACATGCTTAACCCTCTGGCTCACTCCTTCCCCTTTCCTCACCCACTGATCTAAAGATTTCCCTGGGAATCCATTTTTCAGGCTGTAAAGTCTTAGTTTGGTTTTTGAAAGCGAAAAATAAATTTTAGGTCTACTAGGGATGTCTTGGTCATCAGCATCAAGAGCCATGCAATCAGTAGCATTTCTGACATAAAACAGGCTTGAGCTGAAGGTCTGATTAAGATCCAGACCATGCTATTATACACGGAAAGTAAAGCCAGGGTCTTGAAATATTTTCAAAAATAAACACGCTTAGCCAAGCCCACCCTGCAACAAATCATAAGCAGCCTCATAAAGGCCTTTATAGGCCTGATAGACATGATGTAAGTGCTGACTGGCCAGAGCAGCCCCTCCTCAGGCCCTGCCTGCCTGCTCTGGAAGCTCCATGTGTAGCCAGGTAGGCACACTCCCTCCCTTCTGAGGGTCTGCCACCGCAGGGGAAAGGACAGTGCTGCTTTTTGAATTCTGCCATTGAGACTTGCCCTGTGTTCTTCGAAACCCACCTGGACTGACTGCATTGTTACAGTTGTGTGCCATAGGAACATTACAGGCACAAGAGAGGCACCACATGAAATACAGGAGGCAGGGAGTGATAGGACTTTCTGGGGAGAAGTTTTGAGGGCATTACTAATTTCATTAAAGTTATATTCATGTCCCTCTAAACCAGGGTCAGATTGTTATTTATTATAGGACCTAGCTGCCCTTGCACGTTGTGGACTGCATAGGAACAAGTAGTAGTTTACTTAAACTTCTAAGAAACAATCTACCCTAAGTGGGTAGAGCTAACATTACAAAGCAACAAAGCAGCTTAGGAAAACTAAAGAAACTAAGCACATATTTATAGGTGAAAGTCTGGGTGGATTTTTATATTTTTTTTGGGGGGGGTTTAATTCTTACCTTTCTTCTCTTGGTTGATTCAAAACTATGAAAAAAGGGGCTATTGTGAGATTCAGATTGGTCTCAAAATATTTCTGGAACAGGGGTTCTTGAGGGAAGTATGTATGCCATTAAACATTTTGTACATAGGCACTGTAACATGAAATCACATTTCTCGGTCACCCTCAGGGATCCCTTGGAGGTTTTCCAGAAACCCTTCCACTCTCTCCACTTCATAATCCATAAGCTAAAACATTGGTTTTAAAAAAAAAAAAAATTCTGTGCTGCTTAGGTCTTTTTGGTTTTTTCCTTCTAATTTCTCTACAGGCTTTCTTGAAAGGAGAAGGAGAATATAGCAGGGCAGTTTGATGCTGAAAGTTATATTCTGTCCTGTTATCTCATTTTACCTTCTTAATTTACTAAAATAATTTAAAACTTAATTTACTAAACAAAGCAACTTATTTGCAGCAGAGGATGCCGTCTGTCACTTAGTGTGTGTAAAATATTAAAACGTTTTTATCCTGGAACTACCACCATCTGGAAATAGTTAGCATGGGAAAACAATAAAAAGCCCATCTAAGTTCACAAGTGTTATTGCCTTAAACAAGAAGATTAGTGTTCCTGTTCATTTATTTATTCTACCAAAACATAACATTAAGTAATTTTAAAATCCAAACAGTTTGGAAAGCTCCTGATGTTGCTTATATGTGCTAAAGCCCAGACTGAGGTTATCATGTTTGCCTTGCAACAACAAATGTCAGTTTGCACTCCATAAAGCATTGTGCACAGGTTGTAGCTTTGATTTTAGAAGACTGTAGGACATGCTTCCCTCAAGGACCACTCTACCAGAAAAGCCCTCATACCACTCTAATATTCCATATCCCTCAGGCTGATTTGGTTTATATTTGAAGCCAGAGCTCTGAGCATCTTTTGGGATTGAGCTGGTAGACTATGGAAGAAACAGAAATATCCTCAGAAGGTTTTCTCTTCTCTGCTGGATATCTTTGATATTAATGAACACAAGTCCATATCATGAAGATAAAACTTTTATAAAACAAATGGCATCTCTGCCGTCTCTTTTTATATTAGTGGCACATTGGAAAGAAGTATAAAATCTGCTTAACGCAGCATTGTGTCCTTCATTGAAAAAAAAACTCAAACTGTTTCTAATCAATAACTATTTGCTTGAGCAAATATTAGCTCTTCAAACAGCAACTACATTGGAAGTAGCTGCAGTTATCTCAGTTGCATATGTAAGTCAGAGCAAAGTTTTTCTGTTTGCTTCTTTCCTAATCCTTGTTCTTTGCACTTCAAGAGACAATAGGCTAAATTCAAACCTAATCATACCAAGGCAATTCCACAAGCAGGATGACAGAACTATTTGAGCATGTAACTCCTAGTTTATTATTTTAAGGCTTTGTAAAAACTCTCTTTGATAGTTAATAACCTATCTTCTTCAACATCTGATAGAAGGACAAGTCTATTATTATTACCCAATGATGCTTTCCCAGTTCACAGGACTTCTTTCTAGGTTTATCAGGCCAGTTTAAACAAGTTTATAACGATGCTCTTTACCTGCAACTAACCTCCTTGTGCAACTTTTTTGGCTGGATCTGTGATTCAGCCTTTAGACACCATAGACTAATGTTAATAAATGCTGGAGGGATCAACACTTACACCTCAGTCACTACATTACAAACCAAAGAAATCAGCCAAGAAACTGTAGTGCTTCTCTCTTCATGTACCAAGTGTCACACAAGACAGGAATACAGAGGAGCCATTGAAGCAAAATATTAACCCAACCCTAGACAGGCAAGAGAGCCTGAACACAGTCTCCCCTTGCTCCTCCCACCCCAAGGCTCCCACAGCTGTTCAGCATTTCTGTGTGGTGCTCCTGCCAAGCAGGTGTCTCTGCTGCCCTGAAGGGCTGGTGACAAATGACCATTCGAGTTTAGTTTGTGCAATGGAAACTGTTTCCATTACAAGCATAAGTGAAATACATCCAAGTAACCAATTCTGGGATCCCAAAGCCCACATGTTTTTATAACCTATACTGACATAGCCTTATCCTTTCCACAGGTCATTTCAATGATTGCTTTGTTCCTCAGCTCATGAAACATGAGTTGGCAAACATCACCTCCACTACAGCAGGTACTCCTCTAAATCCCCTGGTTTAGAGGCTCAAACCCAGGTATGCTCAGAACTTCATGTTCAAGGGATTATTAATGCAAGAGAACCACTGCAAAAAGCTTACACACACATTCCTTCCTTACGCATAACTTAAATACTGTCAACACTTCTTTCTTTGCAGTCTAGTAATTCCTACATTAATCATTCTGCAGTTTAGTCCTGAAGAATTGCATCATACTGTAACAATTTGACCAATCCTGAACTGAGGCTGCCTGAGGTTGATTAATAAACTGCAAACGGTGACAGATTTTTAAATTACCTGGTGTTTTTATTTGATCATGCATGATCAGAGCATTTCCAGCTTTCCAATACATTCCTCACATACGGGGAAGACAGCTTGAGCAATACTTCAGACTAAAGCTCGTGTCAAGTGTTCCTTTCACACACATTTACAGGAACCAAGCCTGTATATTAAGGTGAATCAACATTTTACTACATGGTATTTTTGGTATTTTCAACATTTTCCAGAAACACTGGAATATCTCTTAATCACAAGGGACATGACTTGACTCTGTCATAGAGAGAAGGCTCATCGAAGTCTTTCAGGGTACCTGACAAGCAGGTGCCTGTGGGGGATGGATATGACAGTATCTGGAGTAACCATGCTAGCAAATTTCAGCAGCAAGAAAATAACCCTTGAAACTTAATTATTCTTCAAGTCCTGCTACCTGCATTTCAGTTATGCTAACTAGCAATCAATTTGCTTATTTAAACAAATAGTTATCTATGCACAGACAGCATTTTCTGTAACAGCTGACAGTTTATTCAGGTGTTAAACTTAACAGTGCTCTGGCACATCTATTTAATTTCACAGTCTAATATGAACCATTCATAGTTATGGTTTTGCTCATGGGTGACACAACTTAAACTTTGATATTCCATTCAAAAAATCAGAGTAGCTGTGCAAGCAGTGTTTCATTTAAAAGGCATTGAGCTCAAATTCCCAGAATTATTATAGGCTCTTCTCCTAGACAAATTTTTACAGTCTTTCCCCAGATTAAAAATAACATTCAACTGAATACATAAAAGATTCTTTATTTTATTCTTAGACTTAGGCTTTCAGGAAACCTTAAAAAATCAGTTACACAACAAAGACTGATATTGTAAAACAGTGGAGGTGCAGTTCAAAAGAAAAAAAAACCCAACCCACAGTGTCTTCAAATATAAAAATATATATCCAAATTATTACCTAGGGAAAGTGTACCACCATTTCTGTCTTAAGCTGGTCCTGCCAGCTTTTGGGTCATAACTCCCACTACAGAGCTCAAGAGCTCACATTGGAAGGAGCATCTCCGAGGCTCATGTCACAGGCATGATTCAGAGCAAACTGCTTTGCTGCAGCATATTAACCCAATCTTAAGTTTTCTGAAAGCATTCCATAGTTTTCCCTTGGGCAGTGGGTAATAAGCATCCAAACATCTCCTGGGAAGCATAGGTCATATACACAAAGCCATCTTCATCTTTGTAGTCCCTGTACACTTCTGCCATTGTCAAGGACATACTGGCTAGGCTTTTGTTGTTCACCAGCAGGTAGAAAGCTTGTGTAGCTGTTAGAGCCATCCTGCTTCTAATTGAAAAAGAGAGGAGAAAAAGAGAATTAAGCATTAGCAAGTTGAATATGGTTTCAGCTTCAGTCTATAACATACATTAAACAAAGCAGTTGCATGAAGTAGGTACAAGACATGTTATGTAAAGTGATTATGTGGTTTAACATCTCCATCAGCAGGAAGTTAACTGGAAGCTCAAAGGCCCTTACTCTGAGGAAAGGCTTACATGTCTACACCAAAGGTGCTACTGAGCATGGGCTTGGAGTTCCCAGTTACCAGGGAAAAGTGTGAATAGAAACCAAAAGCTTCTGTAGTGCAGATTTTGTAAAGGACTCCAGCTCCAGTCTGTTACACTACCTCCAGAAAACACATCTTTTTCAGAGACATTACATACAAGGATTAAGATCTAAGTTGTCCAAGAGCCAAAAGCATTTTTTACAGAAGTTATAATCTAGAAAGATATTTTTCTATACTTTAATAAGTGTACTGAAAAACATAGCTTTCATACTTTGTCAGAAAATACCACTAAATATTTTGGTGGACTTCTTTGCTTTAATGTTTCATAAAGAACAAGTTTGCAGCATGTTTCATTTCACTCACATTCAAGAGCTGCTTTGAACTTCAACAAATTCAGCTAGGTGCAGTAAGAGAGCAAGGCAGTGACAGTCATAAGTAGAAGAAGATCACAGAGCCTCAATACCCAGTCCATGAGGCGGGAAGAGAGCAGAACAAGAGTCTTTTTTCACTACAGTTAAGAAGAAGGGAGACGACTATGAACCCAAAAAAGACCACGTTTTTCCCCCAAGTGAAAACATCTGTTGATCGATCGAACAAGAGAGGGAAGCCATTACATTACTAACACCTTTATCCTCCTACCCACCAAAAGAAGCAAGACATCCCCAGCAGCACACTAGGAAATATCTTCTTAGGGAACAGTAGCCCAAGGTGCAGCTCCAACCCACCAGTCCCCACTACCCACCTGATGATGGTTATGAACTGTGCCATGGTCAGCTCCTCGGGAACCAGAAACTTGGTTTTGTCCAAGAGAGGAAGGTATTTCTCTTTATGGTATCTCTCAACAATTACCTGTTTTAATTAGAGTCACACATAGCCAAATATAAAATACCCAGGTCCTTTTCCCTCCCCTCACACACTTCTTTCCTTAAACAGCAGCGACAACCTCCGAGAACAAACCAGAGATTTACCGGGATTTTCGTCGGGAACTTGGCTCGGATCCCTGCTACTTCTTCCCGCCGGGTGGCTGCGGGGCAGAGCAGAGAAGAGAAGCGTTACGTGTGCGCGCAGACCCTCCGCCCCCGCGCAGACCCTCCGCGGCCCCGGCGCCCCTACCGAGGCTCTTCCTGAGCTTGAAGGGCCGGTCCGGCTGCACCCCGGGCGCCGCCCGCATCCTCCCGCCACGGGGCCGCCGCTGCGCCCGCCGCGCCCGCGCCTCGCACGGAGCGGGGCCGTCCCGCCCCGCCCGGCAGCGCGGCCGCAGCCAACGGGCCCGCCTCGGCCGGCTGTGGGCCCGCCTCGGCCGGCTGTGGGCCCGCC